GCCATATGCATTAAGTAGTACTGAGTCTTTGAATGGACCTGGGATGGAGCCGCCATATGCATTAAGTAGTACCGAGTCTTTGAATGGACCTGGATGGAGCTGCCATATGCATTAAGTAGTACTGGGTCTTTGAGTGGATCTGGGATGGAGCCGCCATATGCATTGAATGGACGTGCGATGGAGCCGCCGTATGCATTAACTAGTACTGAGTTTTTGTATGCGTGAAGTAGTCCTGGATGGAGCCGCCATATGCATTGAATAACACTCTTTGAATGGAAAAGAAAAGACCATGAAAAGACACGGAGAATGTTCCAGAATGTCGTCCCAATCGAGCAAGAGAACATTCTCCTGGCGTCGTCCTCTGTGTTTGAACAGGTGGCGGTTCCCTGGGTCTCACCCCGGCTCTGACGTGCCCAATCCGCCGTCACAGATGGTGGGTTCTGTTCTAGCTCCGTGACAACTGCCCTTTCTCTGGATGAAGTTCTTCTCCCCCCCCAAAGACTTCTCTCCCCCCGAGAGTTTCTGGACGATGCTTGGGGTTCACGCTGATCTCCTTCCTCCTGGACGCTCTTGTGTGCTGTGGACCCAGAGTCCAGCTGTTCATCCACTGGACCTGGACGTCCTTCTGAGCACCTCCAGGTCAGGATTCCTGTCCGGTCCTCAGCTGTCCCTGTATTTCTTGAGATGGCGATGGCATCCTGAGCCACCTAGACTTGTGAAGTACGCAGGTTGGGCATAAGCCACCAGGTCCTCTCCATCCGACAGACGGACCCCTAGGCCATGTCCAGAGACATGGATCTGGCCTCAGGGCTCTCTTAAACAGCTCTGGCCTCTATTTCAGCCTCAACTCTTGCTCGGACTCTTGCAGTGGACTCCTCGGTGGGCTCTCAGCCCTTGGATGCTCTCATCCTACTTTTCAGATACTCAGAGTGACCTCGGTGTCATTCCTCCGCCCGGGGGGTCTGTTGGGAAACTGGGCGCTCGGCCCTCACAGCTGCCTTGGATTTCTTTTTCTGTTTTGGGGGGTATTGGGGACTGAACCCAGGGGTGCTTAACCACCGAGCCACATCCTCAGCCCTTTTAATTTTTTATTGGGACACAGGGTCTCATTGGATTGCTTAGGGCCTTGCTAAGCTGCAGAGGCTGGCCTCCAACTTGCGATCCTCCTGCCTCAGCCTCCAGAGCTGCTGGGATGGCAGGCGGGCACCACCGCACCCAGCTGCCCCTCCTTTCTTACGACCCTGATTTTTGTACTGGTTTTCCATCACGACGATGCCAACTCTTTTTTTTATTTCCCTAAATTTTTTTTCATATATTAAGTAGATTTTTTTGAAAAATGCATGCAGACTTGGCAAAAGCTATCCATCAGCTCAAGGTCTCTGTGTCCGGGTTTGAACCCGCGAGCGGGATTCTCCGTTCTTGCAAAACCTGAAGGAATTTGCTGGACGCCGTGGGCACCCCGCGTCTCTCCTGAATGCCAGTCTTTCTTATTAATTTTTTTGCGAATTCTCTTACGTCTGTGGGTCTGATTACAACCGGTTTCTTTGATTAGATTTTTGGGCTAATCAGTATTTTCTCAGAAAAAAAAAATATTCTTTCCTGGAGATTTTCACAGTTTGTTTTTTTTTTTTTAAATGGATTTAGCCTAGCGGCAATAACCACCGGGAAAGTGTCATTATAGAACGTTCTTCTTGGGGTCCTCTTTCCGATTTGTACATTTGCATTTTTAGCCTCATTAATATATGATGCAAACCCCCCTCCAGCCCTCCCCTCCCCCTGTCCCTTCCTGGGCACCCCGACACACAGGTCACCCTGTCACTCCCGGCTGCAGAGCTGGGCGTGAGATTTCTCCACCTGGAAGGTGGCTCCGGCCACTCTGGCTGGGTATAAAACTCTGCCCCGGGGAAACACTGTTGTCTCTGTTCCCCTCCAGTCGAGTTTTTGTACTGTGACCTGGGCTCCATGACGTCCATCCGGCAGTTCGTGCACAAGTTCAAGATGAGGAACGTCCCGCTGCACGTCCTGGTGAACAACGGTAAGTCGCGCCCAGGTGGACGCGCCGGATGCTGACGTGATGGCCGGCACCTCCCAGTGGGTGCAGGAGGGTTTCCCCGAGGCTGGCTGCCTGTTGACATCAGGGCTCTGTCATAGTGGTCCCCAATGTCCTTTGCAGCCCCGGCGTCAGGTGTGCTGGATGTTTAGACGCGTCCTCTCGGGCTGTGGTGCCTGGGGACCCACTAGGAGTTGGATCCCAAATCTCATCACATCCTAACGATGCTGCTGTGGGACCAGCCCTGTGAGGTCCCCAGATGCCCACCGGTGGCTCTCTCTTGGGTTCTGCAGACCTGGCCCCACAGTGAGGCCTGGGGACCCCTATTTGTTGCTTAGGTCCTCGCTAAGTTGCTGAGGCTGGCCTCCAACTTGCGATCCTCCTGCCTCAGCCTCCGGCACTTGGAAGTAAACTTCTAAGACCTCCCAGAACCCAGATTTTTTTTCCTACTCTGAGTCTTTTCGATGCCTCCAGGAAACAATCGAACGTTGGCAAACACTAAACAGGTCTCACGGGAGCGGGGCATCCCCTTTGGGTGGCATTTTATATTTATAGACCCCCGTTTTCTCTTCCCGGCTCTGCTGGATGCGGAGGGGTCAGTTCGCTTGGTCATTTATCAAATGCCAGAATCATGCATCGTGCACCTCCCGGAGAACCGGCTCCCTATTTATCGTCTGTTCAGCAGAGGCCACTCGGGAGGCTGAGGCAGGAGGATGGCAAATTGGAGGCCGGCCTCAGGAACTGAAGGAGGCCCTCAGCTACTCTGCCAGACGCTGTCGCTAAATAAAAATAAAAAAATAAAAAGGGCTGGGGACGCGGCTCAGCGGGTCAGCCCCCTTGGTTCCATCCCCAAATCCCCCAAAGCAAAAAGCGTCCCTTGTTCCAAACCCACACACGAAGGCACAGACTCCGTGGCTAGTCCCCGGCATCCAAGGGCCACTCGGTCCATCTGACTGTCCCCCGGAATCCTTGTCCCCCCAGCCGGCGTGATGATGGTCCCCCAGCGGCAGACCAAGGACGGGTTCGAGGAGCACTTGGGGGTCAACTACCTGGGCCACTTCCTGCTGACCAACCTCCTGCTGGACACGCTGAAAGACTCAGGCTCCCCGGGCTGCTGCGCCAGGGTGGTCACCGTGTCCTCGGCCACCCATTACGTCGGGGAGCTCAACCTGGATGACCTTCAGGGCAGGTGGGTTCCGCCTGGTCAGTGGCCACACCGGGCAGGGCCTGCTGGGCTGCGCTGGGCTGCACCATGGGCCTCTCTGGGCTGGTTCCTGTGCTCAGATGCAGGCAGCGTGGGTGGGGGGCTGTGCTGGGCGGAGGGACTTTGTGCTCCTTCCTCCTCCCCGCCAGGGGGAGGTCTGGGACGCACGCACGCGCAGCAGGCGCCGTGGCCACGCCTGGCGTCCCAGCGGCTCTGGAGGCTGAGGCAGGAGGATCCCAAGTTGGAGGCCAGCCTCAGCGATTTAGCGAGGCCCTAAGCAACCTGGAGACAGAACCTATCTGTTTGGAGAAAGGATCCTTGTCCCCCTGGGTCCCCGGACCTGGTCTGCGTCAGGGTCCCACAAGTCCCCCCTCCAGGGTCCCCTGGCTCCTCTCAGGGACGTGACTTCCCGCCTGCATGTCCCCTGCAGGTCACAGGAGGTGTGTGAGGACGGTGGCGGAGGCTGTGCCCGGAGGCCAGGCAGGGCTGCAGGTCCAGGGCTTCGGGGAAGGAAGCT